GAAAGTAATTTTTGGATTTTATTCATGATGATCTTTCATTTACAAAAGGATTATACATTTACAATGAGTATCTATTCTAGGTCCTAAAGTCCTAAAAAGAGAAAAACTACAAGTGTTCTTCATTGGACCTCCCTTTGAGTTCTTCACGAAGCTCCCGATCACCTAAAAAAGAACAGATAAACAAAACACAACATGAAAAGTGTTAGAGGTTATTCGACACTCTCAGAACAACGTCATCATCGAGTGTCGGGAGTGGCACGACCGAAGCCGCATCCTACCCCCGTTACCAATCCGCGCCATCCGTGTCGGACCAGGTAATGTCTGTTCTTATCAATGCGGGAGGGCCGAGAAAGATGAAGAGTAAAAGAATTAGGGACTGGTTTGATTTTCCAAAAGAGTTCACGCAACTTTGGATTCGAAACTAAAACACCATTCATCAAGTAAACAGGTGGACTACTATCAAGTAAATTTCATTGATACAAAACTGAGCAGCAAGGTCTGAACCGTCTTCCGTTTTTTTCCAATCCCTGAAATACAAGAATCAAAACAGCATCAGAATTTTCTAAAGTTCATCACTGACTTAAAACCGTTCACAAGCTGCACCGAATTTGAACAAACATCGCAATTCACGAAAGGCAAAACAACCCATTCACAATTAAGTTCTGTTCAAAAACAAGATTGCATCAAGTTCAACTCATGACAAAAAGCAAGAGGCCATGGCTCATTTCAGACATAAGAAAGAGTTTCAATCAAAAGAACAAATTCAGCCCTCAATTACTCATCATAGGGCATGAGAATTCGAGCGGCTGGGAAAGCCACGGCCGAAGCCGTTACCAACTCCCTACCGAGCGTCGAATTACGCAGCATACGACATTTGTCGCTCAGACCCGAAGGTCATTATCACTAAAGCATCAATCGAAGCCAAATGGTTCAGACCCTAAGGTCATCATCACCGCATAACCTTCTCGGCAACCTCGGTTTAATCAAAGCATCATCATCCGTTCTGAAAAAAGAAGAAGAGTTAATAAACTCACATCAGTAAACCAGAAAGGAAAACTGAACCGAAATGCATCAGAAGAAACCACATCAGTTCACAAATAAAAGTCCAAGTCTGAAGCAAGTTTGGTTGGCCCCAAATTGAATTGAATACGAGCTAAGAGAATGGATATCCATACCATAAACAAGGGATTCAAATCCACATCTGCAAAGACAAAAACAATCCAATCAAATCCATGAAGAAAATCCAAAAGATATCAGAAAAAGACCAGTTCAAGATCAAAGGGGCATCGAAATAAAGTCCACATCTGCAAAGTCCAAAAGAGAAATAAATCAAATCCAAAAGAGATCAAAAACTGTGTGAAATCCAAAAATGGAAGGTTTCCCAATCAAGCGTATCAAAAATAACGTTAATTCAATAAAATCAAATCAATCCCACAGAAGTGAATGGTAATCGAATCATATCAGAAGAAAAAAAATACGAAATCAAATCTTTCATAGGAGTATAAAAAAAAAACGTAAATCCAAGGCCCATTCGAAAATCAGAGAGAGTATAAGAGAGAACAACACCACCTTCTCAAAACCCTAGAGGAAGCGGACGGAGAAAGCGAAAACGGCCGCGAACGAGAACTCGAACGAACGTCAAACATCATCCATGAATATCGGACGCATATCACTATAGAGAAGATCGCCTTCGCCGTCGGCGGGCAATCGACTCTCTAAGCCTCAGAGAAGTCATCATCAGCCGTCGAATCTCACCAGAAATCACCGGCATCATCAACGAAACGTAAGCGAGAAATTCATGATAATCTCACGATTAACATTGTTGCGTTTGATTTCAGGTTTTCATAGAAAACAGAAAAGATGAAGAAAAGATTAAGGCATGCGAATCGAAGGAGAACGAAGAAGGCAAGAGGAAGCGCCGTTCGTAGCGCATAAGGGTTCTTACAAACCCTAAAGTCCCCTTTGGTTGTCCGTTCCCTTTAGTGGGTTGGGTCCGGATGTAACTACCGGCCCAACCCCTTTTTTTATTTTTATTTTTATTTGTTTATTTATAATTATTATGTTTTTTTAAGAATTTATTAAATTTTTTTTAAATACTATTAAAACCTGTTTTCAAAATAAAATAGAACCTTTTTCTAATTAATAATAAAACTTTTTTTTTATAATAATTAAAATCCTTTTTTAAAAAAAAAATAATAATGATAACATTAAAAATAAAAACTTTTTTTTAGATTATTAAATTAAAACTATTTTTGAAAATTAACTTAATCTTTTTTTAGTATTAAAACTTCTTTTAACTTAAATCATAAATTTTTTCTTTATATCAAAAATAAACAGCTAAAAACCTTAAATCTTGCATTTTTATTCTCCACTGTCTCATAGTTCTTTTGGTCGCCGTCTGACGTTGCCTACTAACATTGTTCATTTGTTTTGCAGCTTGTTATGTTTACCGTTATTTATTTTATTTTTCGATTCAAGTTTTGTTTATAATTGTAACTGTTTCCTGGTTGTGACCTCGCGAACCAACAATCGCGTTTACTTTCCGCATTTAAATTTCTGCCTGTATGATTTAAATTTCTGACATTTTCATCACCATCAATCTGTCACCTTACACCTCCGAAGGATTAGGTCTAGTTGTTTGGCCGCCGCGCCAATAGTCCTTAAAACTTCGAACCTTTTTCAAACCATAATTTATACAAATGCCTCGCCGCAGGCAAAATGACAATTTTACCCCTAGCTTTAGGTCAAAGGGCCGTCGTGCTCATTTTAGGGTTTCCCGCCGCGGAATCCCTAACCTAACCCTAATTTCAACTTAACAATTCAACGTAGAAGTTTGGAGTTCCCGCATTCCACGTAAGCGCGTCCTTAAGATGCGTTTATTCCCCTAGAAACCTTGACCACAGTCCAGACGTTTCTAACCTCCCATGTGAGGGGAACTACAGATACTCTGATTCCATTCCCGTCAGGATATGTAGGCACAAGATGCGACGTCTTGGCGAGTATACTTAGGACTAACCCCCTTAGGTCTTTCTCTTTACCTTTAACCCTTAATGTTATCCTTAAGCAAATAACTTGGCAATAAACAACATAAAACTAGAGGTTCTTGTAGAGTACTACAGAAACTTAGGATGCTAGTACCTTCCTTAAGTTTAACCAACCCCCGAACCTTAGATCTCTCCCCGCGTTGTGTTTACAATGCAAAATAGGTTTTCCTTCCTTTAACCTTTCCTTCGGATAAATCAAAGACGGTTGCAAAAATGAATAAAGATTCAAACTAATCAATAGTTTGGTATCCAAATTTCACCGCGACAGTTGTGTTGTTGTTCCTAATCGACATGTATCTTGGTTGACTAGCATTATGTTGTTTCATGATAGGTGGTTTTCTTGTTGTTGTTCCTTTCTTTTGCAGTTGTCCAAAGAATGGCTAATGAATATGCAGTGTGAGCAGAATTTCAGAATCTTCTCATATTCAAGGTTTAAAAAAAGCAAAACCGACTCTTTCCATAAGAATTTTGAAATTGAGTTCCTTTGTGAGACCTAAATAAACTAAGACTCTAATAAAATGACCAAAAGGTTGGTAAAAAAGAAGGTGTTTTGGACTGGGCTAGGACATGCCCATCAGTCGGGAAGGCCCAACCCACCACTGGGTTGGGAAGGTCCAATAAGGCCCAATCCTCCATCGTTGGGCACACGCCATATACGTCGGGCAGACGACTCCCTTGACGGGCAGATCCACACGCTTTCCCCACGTTCTCCACGTGCTCCCCCACGCGGGGACACGTCATCAAGCAACTATCCACCTCCGAAAGAGTTGGTCAGTCCACCTTCCAAAGGTCACAGGGTGGTTGATCTAGGGCGAAGACCACGTGCTGGTCTTCACTGCGCCACGTAAATCCTAGCAGTTGCTTGGGTTGGACCTGACAGTCTGACCCAACGTAAGTAATCGTTGGCCTTGCGCTGGAGTGTCTATATAAATACCCTCTTTCACTAGAGGGTCAGGTATTCTATTATACACCTACTTTTGTATTTACTCTTCCACTCTGATCTTTTACTTACTTAAGTATCGGAGTGCCTTGCAGGTACACCCCCCTCCTTCTTCCTACCTCCGGTGGAAGTTACCAGTCGACGACGCGTGACAGACCATTATTGTTAAAAGATGAATCAATGCTAATACGGGTCCCGACACTATTCGCTATTGCAAAATTAATCATAGGTCGCAAATATTATTCTTCCATGAAGATGGTGATTGCACACTTTGACTCCAAGTTTATATCCATCATCCAAAATTGTTATGACCAACCTATCTCCTTTGAGAAAAGGGGTAAATAGTTAACTTAAGGGATTGTTACAAATGTTGTTGTTATTGACTACCGCTGCAAAAGATCTCTATGCCTTTGCTGTTTGCTTTTTGGACACATGAAGAAGAGGAGAGGATTGTTGTAACGTTTCGGGGAAGAGTGATTAAAATAAACAAGAAGATGAAGGAGAAGTCTTACTAGATCCACAGTGTTGGATTCTCAAAGAGTCCAAAGAGATTTCAATTAATTTCAATTAATGAGTAAAAAAAATGCAAGGTCGCGATAATGCTATTAATTTGCCTATTATACATAAAATAAGATGAGTCAACTATTAAAATCCATTTTTATTTTTGACCAAAACTAAAAATCATATGCATAAACATAAACTGAGGGAAAAAAAACGTGTGGACGGTGAAGAATATTCATGATTCATATTTTGCCACCTTTTAATTTAATCTACTTTTCTTAAGTCCTCTCTCTTTTTTTGATGCATAAGTTCAATTTATCTCTATATATATTTAATACATTTCTAAGCCAGCTAACATTAAAACCGACACGACCACTAGCCATTTCTCACTGTTCCACTTTCTTCATTCCTCAAAGACTCAAACATAGTAAACAAAACATCTTCATAGACCAAACCAAACAAAAAAAAACATCATAAGTAGGAAAAAAAACCTCAGACAAAGAAACCATTGATTGATGGCCCTAACAAACGAATTATTGGGTTCTTCATTGGTAGAGAGATCACTTTTTCCTTCTTCACCATGTTTTCATCAGAAAAATGGCAGATTCTTGACCAAGCCTGTTTTGGTTCCTTTCGGAAACAGAAGAGTTTTGAAACTGAGAAAATCTGCTAAGTTTCCTGTTGCAGCTCTCAGTGAAGATTTGGTGAAAAACTCTTCTTCTTCCTCTTTATCATCCTCTTCATCTTCTCTTCCTTCTGAAAAACCGGTGAAATTCAAGGTTAGAGCTGTTGTCACAGTTCGGAACAAGATCAAAGAAGATTTCAAAGAAACTATCGCGAAACATCTCGATGCTTTAACCGATAGAATCGGAAGAAACGTTGTTCTTGAACTTTTTAGCACTGAGATTGATCCAAGTAAGACTTTTTTCTTAAAATATTTTTGGATTAAATTTAAATATATAATTATTTGATTGAATTTTATTTTGTGATATGCAGAAACTAATGCTGCAAAGAAGACCAATGAAGCAGTGCTTAAAGATTGGGCTAAGAAGACAAATATTAAAGCTGAGAGAGTTAATTACATAGCTGAATTCACAGTTGATTCAAATTTTGGAGAACCTGGTGCTATTACTGTGATTAATAATCATCAACAAGAATTTTTCTTGGAGAATATAACCATTGAAGGGTTTGCTACTGGAGCAGTTTATTTTCCTTGTAATTCTTGGGTTCAAGCTAGAAAAGATCTTCCTGGAAAGAGAATTTTCTTTTCTAATAAGGTATATTATTTCTTCAACTACTTTATGTTTTTTTTTAATTTTTTTCTTCGTTTTTTTTTTATAATGACATGGTATATCCAATAATCCAATAATCCAATAATAATATAATAAGACAATAGTTTTTGTTTTTGTTTTGTGTATAATTTTTCAACGTGAGAAATATGGTGAAACTGAAAAGTTAAAAGCAATAATGATAATAATAGTATTAATAATTATAGGAATAGTAATAACTATAATTTTTATAAATCTTGAAAATGGTTAACAGAGCCAAAAGTTCATTTTCCTAGAAAAAATATTAAATTTCATTTATATAGTCTTTAGTATCATGTAAATAGTCTGTGATTTTCTGTAAAAAAAAACATTCGGTATTTTATATTTTATTATTATTGTTATTATTATTATTATTATTGAAACGATACAGTCAGAATTATGCATGGACCAAGCACCATTGAATTGACCTACCAACTATGTTATGCAGTTGGGAAAGACACCATTGAATTAAATACTAGTCTATAGTCCTTGTTATAATAATGTTGAATTCAATTACTAGTTTTTTATTCACGGATAAATTGGAAAATTTTATATTTAATTTATTGTGTGATTTTATTTATTTATTTGAACAGGCTTATTTACCTGATGATACACCTGCTGGGCTTAAAGTTTTGAGGGAGAAAGACTTAAAAAATCTGAAAGGTGATGGAAAAGGAGTTAGAAAATTATCTGATAGAATATATGATTATGACACATACAATGATTTGGGAAACCCAGACAAAGGAATTGATCTTTGTAGACCAAATCTTGGAGGATCTGAAAAGTATCCCTACCCTAGACGGTGTCGTACCGGTCGCGAACCAACCGATACAGGTAAAAAAAATACATCTCTAACGAGATACGATTGAATGCACGTGTAAAATTTATGATAATATGTTAATTTATTTTTTGCGATGATTTAGATATTAGCGCGGAGAGTCGCGTGGAGAAGCCGCTTCCTATGTATGTGCCAAGAGATGAAAGATTTGAGGAATTGAAGCAGAATACATTTTCTGTGAAGAGGCTAAAAGGAGTTCTTCATAATTTGTTGCCCGGCCTTAAATCAAGTCTTTCTGCTGATAACCAAGATTTCAATGACTTCTCAGATGTTGATGGGCTTTATAGTGTAGGGTTGCTCATTAAGTTGGGTTTGCAAGATGATGTTTTGAAGAAATTTCCATTGCCTAAAATTGTTGGCAAGATTAAAGAATCCACTAGCCAGGGTGTTCTTAAGTACGACATTCCCAAGATTATATCAAGTAAGTATTCTCTTTTTTATTTTCAATGTAATTTTTGATATCTGTTTGACACAATTGTGATAAATTTTAGATCATATACGATAATCTGAGTCACACGTTTTAAAGACGGGTGCTGATAAGATATAATCATACCAAAGAAAATTTTCACATTTTTTTCACTTTGATATACAATGTGGTGGGGTCTATAGTCATGAGTACATATATAATGGCAAGATAGTGCCATATAGGACCACACTATAACATGTTATTTGGCTTTTAGTCTTTGCCACTTGAGTTTCACCCAAAAAAATGAGTTTTTCATTCAAAACTAGATCTCATGTTCAGATTATTCCTTTTTCTATATATATATATCCATTACAAAATTACAACTAGGCCAATTTGTTATTACTATATATGATGAAACTAAAGTATCTAAAAAGCTGTACTTGTCATTTGTTAATTTTAAATTTTCACATGTGTGTCTAGTTATTATATTATTAAATTAATTGTAAAATTATTGATGTCATGTGCAGAGGACAAGTTTGCTTGGTTGAGAGATGATGAATTTGGGCGTCAAGCAATAGCAGGAGTGAACCCTGTAACCATTGAAAAACTTGAAGTTTTTCCACCTGTTAGTAAATTAGACCCTGAAATTTATGGTCCATTAGAGTCTGCTCTTAAAGAAGAACACATTTTACATCAACTTAATGGCATGACCGTCCAACAGGTACCATTTAATTCTTTCATAATTTTGCTAACCATTTTATGTAATTAAGTGATTGTGAAGTGATTTTCATGCTGTTTAACTTTGAGTAATTTCACTCATTAAATATATACACACCCATTTCACCGTCCCAATAATTGAATTAAATTAAAACAGTAATTTCTTATTTATTAAATAATTGAATTAAATTATTTTTAAGTGATTGTTGAATTAAATTATTTGTACTAAAGTCTCACTTTTTTGTTTTGGAATTTTGCAGGCAATAGATGAAAACAAGTTGTTCATAATTGATTATCATGATATCTACCTTCCATTTTTGGAAAGGATCAATGCTTTGGACGGTAGAAAATCTTATGCCACAAGAACCATCTATTACTTGACACCTCTTGGTACTCTTAAACCTATTGCTATTGAACTTAGCTTGCCTCCATCTGGACCAAACACACGTTCAAAACGTGTAGTTACACCTGCTCTAGATGCTACTACTAATTGGATGTGGATGCTGGCCAAGGCTCATGTTTGCTCCAATGATGCCGGTGTGCACCAACTCGCCAACCATTGGTAAGAAATGTCTCAACTCTGATATGTGTCAGACACCAGACACGTTTTTCATATGAAACGTCAGTGCTATAACTTGTTTTGTTTTGTTTTGGTGAAATGTAAATAGGTTGCGCACACACGCTTGCACGGAACCGTTTATATTGTCGGCACATAGGCAATTAAGCGCAATGCACCCGATTTTCAAGCTATTGGATCCACACATGAGGTACACTTTGGAGATCAATGCTTTAGCTCGTCAGAGTTTGATTAGTGCGGACGGTGTCATTGAGTCTTGCTTCACTCCCGGTCGCTATGCCATGGAGATTAGTTCGGCTGCTTACAAAACCCTTTGGCGATTCGATAAAGATAGCCTCCCTCAAGATCTCCTCCGCAGGTAAATTTCTTATATCAAATCTGTCTGATCTTGATCCAACGACTGAATATGCAAATAGGAGGCATGGGGACCCTACATTTTTCTCGACAAGCAATTGATGTTTGCTTTATTTGGTGTAACAAAATTACAAATAAATCTAACTAGATTTTCGGTTTTTCACTTTGCAGAGGAATGGCAGTACCTGACCCAACAAAACCACATGGCATAAGGTTAATAATGAATGATTACCCTTATGCAGAAGATGGTCTTCTAATTTGGTCGGCAATAGAAAATTGGGTCAGAACCTATGTGAACTATTACTACCCGAATTCGAGCCTAATAATCAATGATAGTGAGTTACAAGCTTGGTATTCCGAAGCAATCAATGTAGGTCATGCTGATTTAAAAGACGAAACATGGTGGCCGAAACTGAACGACAGCGACAATCTTGTCTCCGTCCTAACAATCTTAATCTGGAACGCATCCGCGCAACATGCCGCGTTGAACTTCGGACAGTACCCTTACGGAGGATACGTGCCAAATCGTCCTCCCTTGATGAGAAGATTGATCCCGGAAGAAAGTGACCCCGAATACGGAAGCTTCATTGCTGATCCACAAAAGTATTTCCTCAACGCATTGCCTAGTTTATTGCAGGCTACGAAGTATATGGCTGTTGTCGATACACTTTCAACTCATTCGACCGACGAAGAGTATATAGGCGAGAGACAGCATTCTTCGACATGGAGCGGTGATGCGGAGATTGTTGAGAAGTTTTTTGAATTTTCAGCTGAGATTGGAAGGATTGAGAAGGTGATCGAGAGTAGGAATCGCGATAAGACTTTGAGGAACCGTTGCGGTGCAGGTGTTTTGCCTTATGAGTTACTTGCTCCTAGTTCTGAACCTGGTGTTACATGCAGAGGTGTCCCAAATAGTGTGTCTACATAATAGAATTTTGAAGTAAATAAATGAGTCACATTGTCACATATTAGTATCACATTATGCTAAGCATTATTGTTGGTTTATTTATTAGTACTATATGGTCAGTGACTCGGAGGAACATTTGATGATTCAGATTTTGTTCTTAGATTTGATAAATATTATTACTAGTAGACATTGGTGACTTATATATATGTAGTGTTGTATAGACTATAGATTTTGGATTGATGAGTTTGGAATTGGAGGGTGTGTGCTTGTTTATAAAATGATTTTCACATATATTCTTGATGTCGAGTTGATATGAATGGTGTTTATGAGGCCTAATTGACCTCGATGGTGCTTCTGAGGCCAACCATTGTTCACCAATGTCAAGTTTTTTAGATGTAGACAATTATTCCCTAGAGAATGTTGGCTTGTACCATCCAAAGCCCATAATCTGAAGACTGTGGCTCCATTCTTTTATTGCTTCCACTGTCTTCAATTGGTTAAAATGATTGGTGGTTACAATTACATTGAAGACTATTTCTTTCTCAATAATGATGTTGATCGATGGATATACTACATTGAAAGCTATGCTACACACCTTTTGTGCATATAATAAACATGGTGCTTCAGACTCAACTTCATTATGAGGTTTTTTTGGACATTTTCTCCAATTTCATATTTGGCTTGAAAATTCTAAAGGACGTGATATTAAATTGAAAACATGTAATCTTTAGGCTTTCTAAAAAATATGAAACAATCTGATTTCTTTTTTTATCAGAAATATTTTTGTCGGTTACAATATATGAAAAGTTTTGATTGACCATCTAATTTCATAAATACATCTCTAAACACATTATGTGTCTCATTGAAACACATCACAATCAAGTCTTATCTCATATTTTTTCCAAAAATATATTTCACAGTGAATTGTTGATTTGGTGTTTATGGAATTGTTGGCATGCATGAACTGCATTTTTACCAACATCTATAACAATGCATTGCTCATTTAAACTACATATCAAACTCATTGTTGATTTTAATGACATATCTAAACTACCTACTACATAATTTAATGCTCAATTTCTAAAAATATATATAAAAATAAAAATAAAAAGTTTAGAAAGATAAAAAACTTATCAAATGTGAGTTTAGTTTGATGTTGAGGTAGCTCTTTAGTTGATTTGATGTTAATGAAAGAAATTTTAAAGTGAATTGAATGATTTTGAGAGAATATAAGTTGAGGGAGTTTCAAACTTGAGAGTTTGAGAGTTAAGATTATTTTGAGAAGTGAGGAAGGAGAAAGGGTCTGACGCGTTTTTGATTAAAACAACGTTTGGAAATGCATCTCCGTGTGACACGTTTTTGATTAAAACAATGTCCGGAGATGCATCTCCTTAAGTTACACAGAGATTCATTTCTGTGATTTTTTGGCATAACCTTAGGGTCTGCCTCAGGAACGAATGTGTTTGGGGTGCGTTCGGAGATACGTCTTCGAATTTCAATAGTACTTTTGGTTTTTTACGAAGGTGTGGTAGCAATTCTTAGGGTATCTTAAGTAATTTCCTTAAACAAAATAAATTGATAGTTTAAATATGATCAATTCGAAGATGTTCAAGTCTAACAAATGTGATCAACAATAATGGGCTTTGAACACTAATTTTGATTTGTGTAGAACAAAATGTAGGTCCAATCTCTAGGGTTCATGATGGGTGGTACTAGCTAGGGTTGTTATGTTATAAATGGATAAGCTAAGTCATTTTTGGTGTCATACTAAAATATACTTGTTTGAGGTTTTTCCAATAGAGAACCACAAATATTAAAGCATACGCTTTGGCAAAGGATAATTCAATCTAATACTTCGATTATTGTGAAGAATTGATTATTTAAAAAAATTTAATTTAATTTAATTTAATTTGGTTTGATGAAATATGTCAAGGATAAGTCTGACCTTGAATCCCCTCTATATTTAAATTGGTTATGTTATTGATACTTACAATTTTGTGTGACTACTAGATTATTTATCCCTAATTCCTTAGTGAATAAATCATTAGTCTTAATCTCCTATGTCTATTATTGAATTACAAATAAAACTAAACATTTAATTATCAAGAACAATTCATTTTTAAGGTGTTATCTCTAAGCCTATGTAATAACTATGAAGACTATTCCTATCAAGCTTTGCTGGTTGAAATTCTTATCTAACATATAATCATATATAGGTGCGTAATTGATAAGAGTAAAGGGAATTAAGAACAAATACAATTAAATCACACATTAAAAAGATTTAATTATCACAAGAATCAATTAAGGTTACAAGATTAATCAATTAGAATAATGCATTCCTAACATTGAATTGACTATTTATAGTCCTAATAAGATATATTGAAATAATTAAAAATGTTACACATAAATCAACGATAAGGAAGCGTCAACCCAAAAATCTATTTAATTGCGCTCCCTATCGTTCATCATGTGTTTTCTCCTCTCAAGAGTTATTTTTTACCATAAAATCTAAGATGATATGAGAAAATAAGTTTTTCCTAATAAATATCCATAAATGAGCCTACATACTCTCATTTAAGAGTATGTACTCCTTTTTCGAGAAGCTGTGTTTTCTCCTCTCAAGAGTTATTTTTTACCATAAAATCTAAGATGATATGAGAAAATAAGTTTTTCCTAATAAATATCCATAAATGAGCCTACATACTCTCATTTAAGAGTATGTACTCCTTTTTCGAGAAGCTTGCTTTACATGCGTACGCCTTTGTAGGCGTTTAGATGCTTTAATGATTTTCACACACATATGTACTAGGTCTAGGACATCTTGACACTTGTCATCTAGATTTTGTATGGCATCTGAATGTTAGATATGCATTTGGATGTTTTTCATGAGATCCCCATATGTGTATGTAGGCTTGTATACGCGCATGGCATGAGATGATTTGTTTTCCTCCGTACACCTTCTTGGGCATCCAAATGCAAATTTTAGTTGTTCCCATGTTTTTCATACCATACAATGGCTACTGGATGCGTATGGTCAAAGCTTTTTTGCTTTTGGTTCATTTTCTTGTATGCTGAGGCCTACAAAGTATGCTAAACCTATCTAAAAATGACACATTACTAGGAAAACTCATTAAATCATCAAAAACATAATTTGTGAACTATTCTTGCAAACTATACTATTAGAGACAATAGTTGGTTATGAAATTGATAGAAATATTTGGATAAAACTTAGTAAACACGGTTATTATTCATCTAGCACAAATGGAACCACAAGACAAATTCCAAAAGAAGAAAAGTTAAAATAACTACATAAAAAATATAGAAAATGTAAAATTAATAGATCAAAGAAATAACAATCCATAACAATATCAAAATCAACATATGCATAAAAGGACATGAATATGAACAACAACAACAAAATGTAAATGTTAGGACAAATAAGATGGAAGAATATATATGAAAAATGCATGATGAAAATCTAATAGAGAAACAATCTAATAGATAAAAATGCACATATAACATAATTAAGTGAGCACATATGAGCAACAATCAAACATCTTAAGAACTAATATATTAAAAAAAAACGGAAAAATAAAGAAAATAAGGAAAAGGAACAATAATACCAATAAAGATAACATACTACGTAACTTGTTATACAAGAAAATCATAATAAACAATAAAAGTTATAACACTAAGATCAAAATAAAATGTCATTAGATACATATTTCTTCACGTGTCTTGAATATCGACTAGCTAGGAGCACTTGTCGTATTTTTTATCCTCATACATTCACTACTACAAAAAGTCCTTTTACCTCAGTTGGAAAAAGTATTTTACCTCAATTTATAGGCAAGGTAACGAAGGACAATATGAAAACTCGCCACTTTTTTCCTCGGGTAAAGTTCCACCAACAGAAAATTGTATTGGTCATGGGTTTGATTCCCAACAACAACATTTATTGGATTTTCAAAATTGCGCTATTTTTTACCTCGAATGGAAATAATACCCAAGAGGTAACGTCCTATTTACAAAGTTTTAGTTTTAACCTGTTTTTTTTTCATTTTAATATACAAAACATCAAATTTGTTGACAAATTCTAAATCTTTCTCATCAACAACAACAACAATAAAAACAAAATCAATAGAATACTAATAGAAATTTAACTTGAAAAATATCTTATTGTTTTTTATGACACGTGACATACCGTTATATATAGACTAGTGATCTATATTTCAAAGCTTAAAAATAGGATCAACCCTAACAAACCATAACAAACTAATAACAATTCTAACAAATCAAAACAAACTAATAACAAACTATTAAATTTATCTATAATACTCCATCTCAAGTTGGAGGGTGAGGATTATGAACACTCAAATTGAACATGAGGTCTTGAAAAACATTCACGCATAAGGACTAAGTAAAAATGTCAACATTTTTTTATTTGGTGGGCAGGTAAGTTGTGCTTATGGTACTTGACTGTAAGTGTTCTCTGATAAAGTGACAATCAATTTTAATGTGCTTTATTCTTTCATGAAAGACCAGATTTGTATCTAAATGGAGATCTGCTTGATTGTCACAATGCATAAGCATGGGTTTGATGCATGGAACTTGTAAAGTATCTAACAAATTACGTAGCAATGATTTTTCACTTATGGCATGTGCCATTGCATGATATTCATCCTCACTTAAGGATCGAGAGAATGTGACTTGTTTCTTTTATTTTCCATGATATTGAAGCATTTCCAAGTTTCATTAGATAACCTAAGATATACTTTCTAGTAATAGGTCACGATCCCCAATATGAGTCAGAGTAGCCAACTAGTTGTAGATCATTATGTTGTAAAAAAATGATACCTTGACCAAGAGAATATTTGAGATATTGCAAGACTCACATAGCAGCATCCCAATGATCTTGGAGTGGAGTTTGCATGAATTGACTTAGAATATGAACTGAGTAGGTTAATTCAGACCTAATGATAGTTAAGTAAATTAGGCATCCAAGTAATCTCCTATACCTC